ATTTTTGTAAAAAATAGCAATACCCGAAAATGGGACTATCAAAATATTTTTTACTGTCCCTTATTACATATGCGGAGGATATTTAAAGAAAATATTTGGAGCATTTTTTGAGAAAGAAATATTAAAAAAGGAATTCCTCTATATCGCTCAAAATTACACGATAAAAACTCACATTTTCGAAAAGTTGAACATGACCTTACTTAAAGATCTATCTTTAAGGAACAAATATTTTAGGGAAAATATTTTTCTTTAATATTATAAGTGCAGGTAGACGCTGGAAAAATTTTGAGTTTTTGTAATTTCGAAAAATTAGGGATATCAACGATAATGAGGCCTGCACCATTCTCTTAAACGTCTTTCGCAATATCCAACAAGATTTGATCAAAAAATTTGTAGACACCTTTTTGAAAATTTTGAAAATGACCGAAGGGCTTCATGTAAAGCACCCCACAAAATTAAAATATGTTTCAAATTCTATGGACCGTGGCATCAGCTGTAGCAATTGATCGAAGATCTTCATTTTATACCATATTTTGAAGTTCCGATTTCCCAACCAATGCATGATGTTGACTTATATATCCCATTCTCTATATATTCTTACGTGAGCGAAGAAGCTTCTTGTCTTTTCATTTGCTAAAATGTAATCAATTGAGCTACTCTGTCCACGTGTGTGGAAAGAAGGTATTCATAACTTTTAGGTTATTGAAACAAGCAAAATCTCATATAGTTTTTCCGTTATAATTTAGCACATGATCTTGATTATACTTACCAATCACATCATCCATTTGGGATTTTCCAATTCTGGCATTTAGGCCTCCTCCAATTATTAAGTAGTCATTCTTATTTATTTCACATTTAGCTTTTTGAAGTAGACAATAAAACTCCTCAGTTTCCTGTTTCTTTCTCTCTTCTGGCGCGTAGACACAAATGAAGGGGGAAAATTCTCTGTCCACCTTACACCACACAGTTAAAATTCGATTGGAGATCCAGTTATAAGATTGTAGTCTTTTGGTCCATTTCTGATTCAGAATTATAGCTACACCTGATGTTGCATGTTCTACGTGTGAGACTCCTCTATTATAACTCTCATTGTATATTCATTGTTCCTTTCAATTTCTTCTTTGTTTCTGAGATCAATAATATCTCGATGTTCTTTTCTCTTTTTTTAATGTTTCTGATTCTTTTCCTTTGCAATTAAGAGATCTAAAATTCCACCCACATATTTGTAGTCATTCCGCTAATCCATATTATTCACCGTTTTCTCTCGTATTGTTGTCATATGGGGAGTCCGGCCATGGTTCTGGAGGAATTTATTATCGATTTACCTGCTAGGGCTACTGACCCATAAGCAGGTTTGACCAGTGGTAGAGCTGCTACCTCAAAGCCTATAAGGGCCTGATTTAACTTCTGTAGTTTCCTTCCCATAGGGAGAAAAACGGACTCCCATCCTTGTCAAATTCAGAAGTGTGGGTGAAGATAAAAGGCTGAAGGATAAAATAAAGAAGATAAGTTAAGAGGGACAAAAAAAGAATAAAAGTGAAGATAGAGAAATGAATGACACCTTAGCCCTCGAGATTCATAGCGTCGGGGTCGAAGATATAACAAGGGGAGAAGAAGGACCTATTAGGAAATATAACAGAAGTGTAACAAGGAAGTGGAAACAATGTTACATCAGCTTGGTGAACCTTTAGCGTTATCCAGGGGGCACCACGAGGAGGGGCTATTGAAGCAGTCATAGGTACGATTCTGAAAACAAGACTTCCTTGCCACCATACAAAGAAGAACTGCAAGAAAAATGAGATATCCAGAGAGGTGCACTAGAGGGAAATGGGCTAAGAGTTAATAGAACCAAGACCGAGTACTTCCATTGTCCGTTCAGTACAAAAGTGAATGGAAACCCAACAGTGTGGCAGGACGCAGAAGATGTGGTAACAAGACGGAGATTCCAATATCTGGGATCAGTAATGAAGGAAAATGTAGGAATAGAGGAAGACGTAAATAACAGGATAAGCAGCGGTTGGTCAAAATGGAAAGAAGCAGTAGGAGTATTGTGTGACCGCCAAATACCAATACGCCTAAAATAAAAGGTGTACAAAACTAGTGCGCCCTGCCATAGTCTGTGGAGCAGAATGTTAGACAACGAAGAAAAGAGAATAACAGAAGTTACACGTAGCGGGGATGGAGATGCTGAGGTGACGCGAAAGAACGAAATCAGTAATGAAGTGATCCGAGGTACAGTGAAGGTGAGGTAGATAGAAGAAAAACTTCAACGAAGGCGACTTCAGTGGTTTGGGCATGTTATGAGAAAGCTGGTAGAGTACGTGGCTCACCAAGTGGAATCAATAGAGAATGTTTAAACGAGTACGAGGCCGCCCAAAGAAGAAGTGGAAAGATTGTGTTGGGGAAGATATGTATCAGAATGGTGTCACAGTGGATTTGGCACAAAATAGAAATAGCTGGGGTGTAGCGATCCGAAAACCCGTCCGTAGTTAACTGGTATAAGGTTAAGAAGAAGAAGAAGAAGAAGAAGAAGAAGAAGAAGAAGAAGAAGAAGAAGAAGGAGGAGGAGGAGGAGGAGGAGGAGTTACAAGTTTTAGAATTTTAACATTTACGTTTTTATATTTAATAGTTTACAATTAATTTTCACAAATGGTGTAATTTATTTACTTCATTATTCGTGGATAATACCACGAAAACATACAAACGCAATGGATGGCATACGAGCAAGACAAAGCAACACACGCGAACACAAAGTAAGAGAACACAAAGTGTGAGCAGAGCAATGTGGCTGTTGATGTGCTTTGGTTACGGCAACTGTTTCTTGAATTTCTCTTTTTTGCCCAACAGGTTAATAGCACTATTTGTTTTCTGTTGACGTTCATTGTGAACACGAAGTATACAGGAAGGAGACTGAACTCCGGTGGTTGGGGTATGTGCCAAAAACGTCGGCAGCTACTTGAAAAAAGCTGTGGACCCCTCTTGCGTCAGTGGAATTACGCGGCGAATTAAAGAACTACGAAGGAATCTTTCAAAGCAGCTAATATCAGCAAAGCAAAGTGCTACTGCGGGAAGTAATAATCTATTTATTCATTTATTTTTAACGGTGCGTGCTCATGACAATAAAGATAGTAAATAATTATTGTTATAAATATTTAACAAAAATGCACATGCTATGTAAATACCAGTCAAAATTGTATCGAATACTCGTAACTTAAATAATGTGTGCTCTGACTGGGAATGTGTGGGAGGCAAATGAGCGTGAAGGAAATATTGGTTTTGGTGCGACTTGTGCGATTTTTTATTATTTGGTGTTCTGAGCTCAATAAACTGTTTCAACGTTAAAATGCCGCGTGTGTGCTGCATTAAAATTGCTCTAAAAATAAATATTCACAACGAACTATTAAAATTCATGTGCAGTGAATATTTTGTATATAATGATATAATGGTAATGTGAATAAAAAACTCAATTCAGATAATATTCCAAATGAATCATTTTTATACAATTATGCATGAGCAAATGGGTGATCTTAAGATTTTGTAGATTTTTTTATACCTTCAGTACAATATTATTATTTCGTGTTGTGCCGTATGGAAGCTTTGGCTTTTTCTACTGAACAATGATTACTTATTTATTCGTTTATTCGAATTATCATTATTATAAAATTATTATATTCTATAATGATTTATATTCTCTTTTATTATGCGAGATACATAGTGCATTGACATTGCTTTCTACACCACAGTTGCAAGATACCTTACACAGGACTCAAAGCAGTAACCTTTAGCGTAGGTCGGCACCTCAATGAACTTTTTAGGAGCATCAAATGTGTTGAAATGATAAAATAAAATTTTGCTGGTGTTAATATTAACCATTCAAGGTATAGGTAAATGCAGAGCTGAATTTCCCTACTAGCAAAATGGAGGTTTGGGGCTCCCATCACCCTTCCCGGATTTTTTTTAAAATAAATATTCTTAAATACTTCGTAACATTTTTTATCTGAATAATAACCATTAATCAAATAGTTTACTGAACAACAATGTTTGAAATTTAAAAAAATAAATTGAATGGAACAATAAGATACTAAACATGTATTTGTAAACGAGATATTAAAAAAGTAATATCCACTTGATAAGCAATTTGTTAATTTACATCTGTATTTGTACAAGCATTTATTCTTTTAGTGTTTTTTAGTTAATTTTTTTTCTGAAGGAGTGTCCAACACAATTTTGTGCTTAAGAAGCCCTTTTTTCTCTTCTCTCTTTTTTCTCTTTTTTCTCTTTCTCGGCGGGCTAGTTGCCCCCCATGAATCCCGCCTTTGCGTTCAGGCATTGGAATTAAATGACAACCCGTTTGTACTGGAGAGCTATGTCCTTTAGTGGGTTGTTTATATTATTCCAAAAATTTCAAAAATCTACCAAAGTTTTCATGTAATACATCTGCAAACGACAGGAAAACGTTTAGACGTGTGAATTGCGAGTTACGAAGTTAGGCGAAACCTATAACCGGCCTACTGTTCATTTAAAATAACCAATTTTATTTTCTTGCTTCAAAGGTGAAATCTACTGTTGTCCTTTTCGTTCGGAGGGTGTTATATTTTACATTCCGGCATCTAAAAAGCTTACTGCCTCTCCTGGCCCCTCTTTGCCCCGGTACACAGTCAGAAACAACTTGGTTATCGTGAAAATATAAATTTATTTTAGAGAAAAAGGAACATCTCATTGCGAAATAGTGTACCTGAACAAAACAAAAAACGGTCGGTCCGGATGGCCGAGATCGCTAAGGCAGTAGTGCCGAAGGGTCACGTGTTCGAGTCCCGCCTCGTTCATAATTGTATTGTGTTCCTCCTTTCATCACCCCTATCATCATCATCATATCGTGGATGCATGAGAATTGAAAACTGACACATGGATCTTCCGTAGTGCATTGTCTATTCTCTTGCAAACAATTGTGCATTGTTTATTATCTTTCATTGATTCAAATTATGTGAATTCAGTTTTAGAAACCTGTTGCCATTGCCTTTGATTGCAGTTGCACCCAAACATTTTACCCAAGTCTGCAGAAAACTTCCGTGCTTTGTGCACTGGATAAAAGGGATATGGCTACAAGGACAGCAGTTTTCACCGTATTTGCCTACGTTTTATATGTCATGGTGAGTATTATATGTCATGGCGGCAAATCCATTTACGGAGACAAATTCGAGGATGAGAATTTTATTTTGAGGCATACCACCCCAGTCATATATGATTCATTTTTTAAATGTAAACTGTCGTTTTCTTATGATAAATGAAATGCACTTGCAGGTCTCGTAGTTATGGCCAATTCTGGACCTCAAAGTAACACCAACCTGTTTTTCATAACGTTTCTCAAATTAAGCTAGCTTGATCATCGCAACGTTGTATTTGGTTATCTTGTTAAAAACATGGATCTTGTGTATGTTGTAAGTTAAACTGAAGTAACTCGCAGTAGTTTTCAAAATGTTTAAACGGAAATTTTATTAAAGTTTATTTTATTTTTCAGTTGGAGTCATTGGGAACCATGAGTGGCAAACCTACAAAGAAAGTGATAATTACTAATTACGGCCAACTCTCTTAAATACATAAAAATGTCTGCAAATGTTCCCACTTTAAGTTAACAGTTTTTGGAAAAAGCCTTAATTGAGGCCTAGTAATATAAAGAAAGATTTACATGTCAATTTTGTATTAAACAAGCAGTAGTTAATTTTAACATGTAAAAAATCGCACTTATTAACATACGAGAAAGTATTGTAATTGTGTGCCGGAAAACGACGAATTTTCGACACAAATTCTTATTGCCAAGCTCTGGCTAGGAAAAATTGGATAAATCCAGTAGCTAAATATAGAGAAACAATTCCTTTAACACGCGGTGTTACCAGAATCCGTTTTGTGCGTCCTTGGTATTGAAAAACCGATTGACCGCAAAACGTGTCTCTGTCCTTCCGTTTGTACACAACGCGGGAGCATAAACCGTTCAGCATATTTTCTCCAAAATTGATATTCCCCAATGGTTCTCTGATGTCGCGGCCCCTAGAATTTGAAACTGATATTTTAATTGAGGGCGGGAGAAGTACTTAACTTGAAGCCTCTCGGACATTTCAGCATTTGTTGGGTAGTGCGTAAAATGTTTAACAGAATGGTGCAGATCTCATTTTCGTTAAAATCCCTGATTTTTCGAAAATTACAAAAAGTCAACATTTTTTCGACGTCACCTTACAACATAATATTTAAGATAGAGATTTTTACCTAAAACCTCTTCCTTTAATACAGATCTAAAAACGTCATATTCAACTTTTCGAAAATATGAGTAATTTTCGTGCATTTGCAAAAGCACGTTTAAAGATGCCCGGCTTATTTGTATAAGTAATGCTTGCATTTGTGGGTAAAAATGCTTCAAATGATTTTCAATAAAGTTTCTCGAATCCCTATAGTGTTCTATAACACCACTTTAATCAAATTGAAATCCCCGTGTGGGACTCGAACCGGCGACCACTTGGTGTCAAGTCATGAGCCCAAACATGCCACTTAACAACCTCGGTCATCCTGGAGAACGAAGCTGTCACCCTTCCATTTTACTCAAGACAACTGTTTCAGTTCTAGCATTACGGAGCTGTGAAAATGTGAAATGACAAGGAGGTTAAAAGTTACATATTCGAAAATAATACACACACTTCAAATTTATCTTGATTGTTTACAAATACAATAGTAAAAGTGCTTCAAATAATTTTCAATTACGTTTCTTCAATTTTCAATAGTTTTGTTCGGCAACGCAGAATTGTGACAAATAAGTTTCCCTGAACGAGGCTCGAACAAGTCGATCTTGCCTCCAAAGCACTGAGACAATACACATCATTTAGCCAACCTCGTCCATCGGGATCGTGCAGGGGTTTGGCACTCATATAATAGTCATAGAAGCTTCGTGTTTCAGTTGTAGATAAGGCAGCGCAAAAATTAACAAAATGTAAAATAAATGTCCCTTGGGCACAAAATGATTGCAGCTCGGCTGACATAACTCGACGTGGTAAATAATGTTTGCTGGTTAAGAGCAATAGATAATTGTGACAAATAACTGTCCTTGAACCAGCCTCGAAACAGCGGCCATTCTCCACGAAACGCTGAGACCGAACTAGACATTCAACCGCTTCGGCCACCCGGGTTATTCAGCGAATTGCTACTTCTGTAATAGTCATCACCGCCGAAAGACAACATTATTTGATGGTTGATAGGTTTTACAAATCCAATAAGAGATGTGAAAAATTGTTTAAAAGTTAAAGATTCGAAAATCACCTCAGTATCACATACTCTTATTCGTATAAATATTTCGTTCGTTTAATACTAAATTGCATCCGTTTGACACTTTTTAATTTGAATTTAATCGGCAGTGAAGGTCGTATGTATATATCTGGCACATCGTAAAACGCGAGGGGATACTTCTATTTATTGCTCTGTGAACATATATTGATGGTAATCGTCTACTGCTGATTAGCACGTGCTTGAGGGGTGACACTAGCAGACGCGGCAGCAAAACACGAAGTAGACATTTCTATTGTATTTAATTTTTCAGAATCATCTCGGTGTTCCACTTTGTAATTTACTAGATACATGTAGAACTTTATAGAGATTACAATGATATTATTTCAAATTATAGTCAGTCGTTTTAGAAGAAATTAAACAATAAAAATGCAATAGATCAAAAAATAATTTTCAAAGAGCATCTTCTGTTCTTGAATGTCACAAAGTATTAAATGTCTGTCACAATTACTACAAGAGTTAAAAATTATTAACAATGCGAGCATTTTTCGAAAATTTTGAATATTAAAATTAAGTTTGGGGGAAAAATAAAAAACACGTTTCATATTATCGCTTATACCCTTCACAGAAAAAAAGTTTAAAAATCTGAAACATCAAGGTCAAAGTTTCCTTAAATTTGTGCGATTTGTCGAGGAATGACCTATTTATGTCCATAAGCAAATCAAGGGGCCATCTCAACATATGCTCAGTGGACCACAGAAATTATTCGAAAACCTGACGGAGACCGGAAGTTGAAATGCTGGTCATCGATCCGGAAGCTGAAATATATTACTTGTTACTTTGAAGACACGCGGGCCAAGCATAGGCACGCCCGGTAAAAAAGATAGCACTGATATTCGCACTTTTAGGAAGCCAGTCCTTTAGGCCTGTGTCACAGGAGCGTTGTGTTGATGCGTGTCACCTAACGTTGAAGCCAGCTGCGTCAACGTGCGTAGATACCTGCGCACACAAATTGCTTAACGCTTGTCGTAGATTAACACTTATCTTATGCGAAAAGCCACACGAACAATTTTGGTTTCGGGCATTATGCCTACAGCTCAAGCTATAACGTAAGTCACGATAACGAGCGTTTTCTAGTTTTCAACGGGCGACGAATGGTAGGCGAAGCGCATTGATAAGAGCGTTCCGTTCCGTTTATCTACGATGCGCGTTACGTGACTCGTGTGCGCACGCATCGACCCAACTGATGTCTTTGCGTTGAGTGACGCGCGTCAACGCAACGCTCGTGTGACCCTCTGCAAATTTCCATTATTAGTCTTTAATTCCCTCAAGTTTCATTATTGCCTTTAAATGGGCCGAATTTTCATCGTGCACTATTGGTGAACATTATACAACGCCGCACCGACGATATAAGCGCCCCTATTTGTTCATCCTGTAGTTTTGTGAAAAATTCCATAATGGATAGTTGAAACCAGTTGAAACGCCCTGGGTAACGGCGATATTAAAACACCTGAATACTGAAATCATCACGAATATTACGTGGGTTTCTCTAAGATAATGCAAATGTTCTCACAAATTGGTCACCTATGTTGTTTTGGACGTTATGCGGTCCTAAAGGGACTTTCATTATGAACGTATAAGCGTGAAAAACGTATAAACGTAAAACGCATGTCTGAAACAACTTGCAATGAAAAATATTGGAATTTATCCGGCACTTACAGAATACAAAACGCAAAAAGTTGGAAACGTATAAACGAAGTTTCACTGTAACTGTGGAGGAAGTATATCCTAAAACAGGAATTAAAGGAGACCAATTAAGTTGAATAATACAATTAAAAGATAAAACTAAACTTATACAGTTATGTATACGTATACTGTCTAAAAACTAAAACTTATAACACATCATGTTATGGATTTAAATGTGATTAAAAAAGTTGGTTTTTAAAAATTTTAAAAAATTGTGATTTTTAGAAACTGTAGTAGAATATTGTGTAATTTATACTCATAATATTAAAATTTTATTTATATTTATTATACTATCATATTTATAAATATGTATATTCTTGAAATTTTATGTATAAACTCATAATATTAGTAAACATGTTAGTGAAATTTCATATAAAAAGTTTTATGACAATGGTTACCCATTAAAGAAAGTTTCATATATTTTTAAATATTACAGTTTTACAATTTTTTAACCAAATAAATATTTTAAGTGCAATCGTTGCTGGTAACTTAAAGCACTTTTTGTGTAGACCCATAGAAATGTGAAAATCCATGAGGGACAAGGGTTTTCTACAAAAGAAACGTTTTTAGACTTTATTTAACTTATCACTAAATTATATTTTACATCTTGCTTTATCATAACAGTTGTATAGTGCCATCAAGAATCTACAAACCAAGAATTAGGGCCAACTATTCTATTTTTCCCTGAGTGGCTAAGAATACCATTAAAACTGTGTTTATACCACTAAAGTAACATGACTATAAACACATATATAAACCAGTTTTAATGCATTGGTAAGTATAGAATAATTCTAAAAAATTACATTATTTACTTTCAATTCAAATATTAGGGCTTAACAGGCAAACTTTTCTTTTAACCTATAGTTCTGAAACTTAACAAAAAATATTTTGTTGAAACACTCTAATGTCTCATTCCTAAATAGTATGAATCGATATCTTATATATTTGAACAATAATTATGAGGAATTAGCAGTCAAGTGGAGAAAATAATTGAAAAGCAACCCCCTAATTAATAGAAATTATTCATGATCTATTCCCTGATGTAAGTGAACTATTTTTAGAATCTATTTATGCGTATATATTTGTTTATATTCATTTCTCTCTTTCTTTGGAAACAAGACTAAGGGGGTACTGGTACAAAAAGAGTGAACAGTTTCGCTTATAATAATCCAATGCATGACTTATTCCAGGCTGTTCCAGGAAATGATCCATGCATATATTTGTTTTGGGGTAAATTCCTTCCTGCACACAGTGCAGGTTGTAGAGCCCAGTTGTCTTGAACCATTCTCAATGCCAACAAAATATATTCATAATCAAAATATTACTCAACGTATATTTAAAAAGCTGAGAATTCTGGTAGGAAGTAATGTTGAAATTGTATGGTTTATATGGCATAGTTGAAAGTAACTATTTTACTAGTGCCTATCATAATGTTTTATCAAAATTTAACACTGTTGAATAAAAATTGTATTAATCGTCAATTTGATGCACATCGTCATTTTCTACTGAAAAATTTATTTGGCATGAAGTATATAAGGTAACTGATACAAATGATAAGTTTGATTCATTTGTAAATATATA